GTTAAATGTGACTCGTGAAGTCGGGCAAATAGTTATGAGGTCTTCATGCCTCACATTCTATCGTCAGTGTTGTGAAAATTCGAAATGAGGTGTTGGTTAATATGAGACTAATTGATGATGCTGGAATTAATTATGAACATTTTTTAAGACCAGGGATGTAGTGATGAGCATACACATGATGTGCTTCATGTCCTGATATCATAATGATAATGCAGTGCTTGTAATGCTGAGATTGGTGTTATTCATATATACCTTGAGGTATTTTATTGGATTGTGGATATGTTATTAGGAGTTGTTTTGGTGTTACTCTGTGTGTAAAAGTAAAATCATCAATTTGGTAATCTCAGAATAATTCTTAGAACGTTCGAGGACGAACGTTTGTTTAAGAGGTGGAGAATGTAACGACCCGACTTGTCGTTTTAAGAATGTATGCCCCATTTAGTAACTTAAGGTCTCGAGCAGCTTCGCAATATGTATTATGACCCGCGGGTGTGGTCGAGTTTGATTTACTAAAGATTCGAAATTAAATTAAAAGAACAATCCTTTATTGAAGCTTAAATGGAAAGAGTTGACCGGAGAGTTGACTTCTAAGCAAACGACTCCGGAATAGAATTTTGATGATGTCAATAGCTATGTATGGTGATTTTGGACTTAGAAGCGTGTCTATAAAATTATTTAGAGGTCCGTAGTGGAATTAATCTTGAAATACCGAAAGTTGAATTTTTGGGAAGTTTGACCGGGGGTTGACTTTTTGATATCGAGGTCGGAATCCGATTCTGAAAATTTGAATAGGTCCGTTATGTCATTTATCACTTGTGTGCAAAGTTTGAAGTCATTCCGGATTGATTTGATGTGTTTCGGCACAAGTTATAAAATTTGAAAGTTCAAAGTTCATAGATTTTGATTTGGGGTGCGATTCGTCATTTCGATCTTGTTTAATGTGATTTGAGGCTTCAAGCAGGTTCGTGTTATGTTATGGGGTAGGTTGGTATGATTGGACGGGGTCCCGAGGGGTTCGAGTGTATTTCGGGGTGGTTTCGGACCAAATTGGAACTGTTTGAACTGCTGTTGCTGAAGTCTGGTTTCCTTCTTCGCGAACGCGAAGGGAGTCCCGCTTCGCGAAGAGGAATTTGAGGGACTGATGGTTTGGCCTTCGCGAATGCAAAGCTGTGGACATGAACGCGAAGAAGGAGTAGGGCAAGTCTTCGCGAACGCGGACCAGGCAATGCGAACATGAAGAAGAAAGAAAGATTGGGGCCTGGGGTCATTTGGCCTTCGCGAACGCGAAGCGTGGAACGCGAATGCGAAGGAGTTGGTCAGCTGGTCATCGCAAACGCGACGAAGCGTTCGCGGACACGAAGAGGAAATGATGGGGCAGAAACAGTTGGCCTTCGCGAACGCGACGAGAGGGTCGCGAACGCGATGAAGGATTTGAGGCAGTTGGGTTTTGGCCTTCGCGAACGCGAAGCAATGGTCGCGAACGCGAAGAAGGCCTATCTGGCAGAATTAAAAGTCCCAAAAACGGGGATTTGAGTTCATAACTCAAAATCTAATTGGGAGCTCGGTAGAAGGCAATTTTTAGAGAGATTCTTGTGTGAGTGTTTGGGGTAAGTGATTCTTATCCAGTTTTGATTAATTTTCATGATTATGTATTTGAATCCATCATTTAATTCAGATTTAATGGGGACAAAAATCTTCCAAAACCGAAAATTTAAGATTTGGAGGTCGAGTTGTTATTGGAATTCGATAAAATTGGTATGGTTGAACTCGTATCGGAATGGGTGTTCGGATTACATAAAAATTATGTCGGGTTCCAAGGGGCGGGTCCCGCGTTGACTTTTGTTGACTTTTTAGAATAAATTATTTAGTCGACGTATTATTATCTGGAATTGTTTACGATGAATTTTAATGAAGTGATACAATTAATTTGGATAGATTTAAGCTGTCCGGAGGTCAATTCAAGCAAGAAGGCTGTTTTGGAATATCGGCCTAACTTCAAAAAGGTAAGTGTCTTGCTTAACCTCGAGTGGGGGAATTACCCCTTAGGCATTGAGTCTTATGTGCCATTTGTGAAATGTGAAAAGACGTGTATGCGAGGTGACGAGTACGTACTCGGCTTATAGGTGTAAATTTTATTGAGTTAAAGTCCTGAGCATATTGTGTGTTAAATTGGATAATTGTTGGTATATATTTAATCATCTAATTGTTGTGCCTAAATCTTTGTTGTTGTTGAATCTATCGTTATATGACAATTTGATGTGATTGTCACTTGATTATTTATGTAATTCCGTGAATTTGTTGGTTTGATAATTATTGGAATTTAATTTTATTATGTATTTTTTCTCTGCAAATAATTAATTAAATGAGCTTAAGAAGAGGTGTTTATATAATTTTTGAAAATTTAAATTTAATGAAGACTTTGCTTTATGTTGAGTAATTTCTATCTCTATTGATTTTTTTTGGGTGTTGTACACATTGTGTGGAGCTTTTGGCTCTTTGTTGTGAAATTAATTGACTTAGTTGTAGCTTTGGAATTTGGTTGTGGCCATTGGACAAATGGTGATATGAATTGATTTTGTTATGTTATTGTGATAATTTTTCGTGTAAATTGTTGTGTTGTGTGAGTTGTTATTTTGGGGAGATAAGGATGGCATTTCACCATTGATATTATGTGGTTATAAGGGTGGCATTTCACTGTTGTGGCTATTGGTATTGTCTGGGGGGAGCGATAAGAGTGGCTATAGGAGTGATAAGGGTGGTAATAGGAACGATAAGGGTGGCTATTGTCAGGGACGATATGTGATGGTGTGGGGTTGTGATGTTGATAATATTCATGTGATGTTGTGATTTTCTTGTTTTATTTTTATACAGTGTGCAATTTGTCTTGTTGTTGGTAAATTGATAACAATCTGATTTATGTTGAAATTGAGAGCATGTGACTATGGCCAGGCGGATTATAAAATGAAATGTGGGCACGAGGTGCCATGAGTAAATAATGAGGTTATTTGGCACGTGAATTGTCCGTGCAGTTGAGATATGAAATGTGAGCACGAGGTGCTGTGATGAAATGATAATGATATTTGGCACGTGAGTTGTCCGTGCAGTTGTAATATGAAATGAGGGCACGAGGTGCCGGGGAAATATGATGATTTAATTATGGGCACGAGGTGCCGTGGAAACATGAAAAATGGGCTGAGACCCGTGTTTACGAAAAATATAAAAATGGGCTGAGACCCGTATTTTTATGATTTTGAAATGAGGTGTCACATGGTGACTTTTAATTGAAAGAATTATATTCAAAATATTTATTTGGAAGGATTTGTATTCAAAAAGAATTATATGAAAGATATTTATTTAAGGAAATTATATTTGAAGATATTTATTGAAAGAATTTTATATTCGAAAGATGTTTATTTGAGGAAATTATATTTGAAAGAGTTTTATTCGTAAGAATTATGTGTGAAAGATATTTAATTGAAGAACTTGATTTAACCGGGTGTAACTGTATTTATCAATTGTTGAGCGATATTAATGGTGATTTTATTGTCTTACTGTGCACATCACTGGTTGTTTTATGTTGCGCTTATTGTTATTTGTTTCCTGTTATTTTGAATATTATATTGCACAGGTTATTAGACTAGTGAGTGTCTTGACTGTACATCGTCTCTACTCCACTGAGGTTAGTCTTGATACTTACTGGGTACCGACCGTGGTGTACTCATACTACACTTCTGCACATTTTTGTGCAGAGCCGGGTATTGGAGACATCGGACTTGAGCAGAGTTAAAGTGGGATCGTAAGGATTCAAGGTAGAGCTGCTTAGTCGTCGCAGTCCCTTGGAGTCTTTTTACTTCATTGTACTGTTAATTTGTAATCAAACAGTATTGTACATTCGGTCCTCGTGATCATTCCATGTATTCAGTTAGAGTTCGTGACTCAGTACTACCAGTCTTGGGAGGCTGTATTTGTAATTATTTCCGTTGTTAGTTTAAAAAAAATAGCTTCAAAATGTAATTGAAATCGGCTTACCTAGTCTTAGAGACTAGGTGTCATTACGACGCCTGTGGTGGAATTTTGGGTCGTGACACTAAGTCATTTGCAAAAGCATCCAAGGACCCAAAGTGGATAAAAGCAATGCAGTTGGAGATTGAAGCCCTAGAAGCTAATCACACATGGAGCATAGTAGATCTTCCTCCTAAAAAATGCCTATATGGTGCAAGTGGATATTCAAGATCAAGTACAAGGCTTTAGGGGAGATACAGAGGTAAAAAGCAAGATTAGTAGCTAAGGGCTACAGTCAGCAAGAAGGCCTTGACTATACAGAAACCTTTTCACCTGTAGTTAAGATGGTTGTTGCTCTTGCTGCCTCTATGAATTGGATCATCTATCAGATGGATGTCCATAATGCTTTTTTGAATGGTGATCTGTTAAAAGAAGTCTACATGCATATTACTCGGGGGTTTGCTAAACTGGGGGAGACTATGAAGGTCTGCAAACTCCATAAGTCATTATATGGCCTTAAACAGGTTCCTAGACAATGGAACAAAAAGCTGACAGAGTCCTTGGTCCAAATGGGATTTCAGCAAAGTCACTATGACTATTCTTTGTTCACCAAGAAGACCAATGGTGATATAATAGTGGTGTTAGTCTATGCAGATGACTTACTAATTACAGACAGTAGTCAAAATCTTCTACAACAAACCAGAGATGAGTTGCAAACCAAATTCAAGATGAAAGACTTGGGAGAGTTAAAGTTTTTCCTTGGGATTAAGTTTGCAAGATCAAGTAAGGGTATTGTGATGTGTCAAAGGAAATATGCCCTAGAACTAATAGCTTAAGCTGGACTTAGAGGAGCTAAGCCAGTTGGTACACCTTTAGAACTGAACCACAGGCTGACATCTCCGAAGTATGATAATCACACACAAAGCAACAGCAAAGATGAAAATCTCAAGGATGCGGGCCCTTATTAGAGGCTAGTAGGCAGGCTGATGTATATCACCATGACCAGACCAAACCTGGCATTTACAGTTCAAGTACCGAGTCAGTACATACACAGCCCAAAGGTTTCTCATATGGAGTCTGCCTTAAGAGTGGTCAAGTACATAAAAGAAGCACCTAGACTAGGATTGTTTATGCCTGCAAAGAGCTCTAACCAATTGCTAGCCTATTGTGACTCAGACTGGGGAGCTTGTCTTCAGACTGGAAGGTCTGTAACAGGTTATCTAGTGAAGTTTGGAGGTGCATTAGTCTCATGGAAGTCAAAGAAACAAGAAACAGTGTCAAGAAGTCTAGCTGAAGCTGAGTTTAGAAGTATGGCTACATGCATAGCAGAAATCACTTGGCTTATAAGTTTGTTCAGAGAGCTTGGAGTTGAGATTCAGCTGCCAGTACAATTGAGATGTTATAGCAAGGCTGTAATTCAGATTACTGCCAATCCTATATTTCATGAGAGAACAAAACATATTGACATAGATTGTCATTTCGTAAGGGAAAGAATATTATATGGTATAGTACAAACGAATCATGTCTCTATCAAGGAGCAACTTGCAGATATACTTACAAAGAGCCTTGCAAAAACACAACATGATCATTTTCTGCATAATCTAGGGGTGAAAAATTTGTATTCGACTGTCAGCTTGAGGGGGAGTGTTGACTATGGTTAAACAAGCTGATTATACTAGAGTTAAGTTAAAGGGGTAGAGTTAGTTGTTAAGAAATTAGTTAGGTGGTAAATGTTAGTTAGGAAGGTTGTTAATATTGTAGCTGTGTATATAATCATTGTACTCTCGTTGAAGTGAATAGAAGATTTCATTTTCTCAGTTTCATAGAGTCGATGGCTTCATTCTCTTTTCTCCTCTTTTCTTCACGACCATAATTGCCCAGCTGTAATAGATCTATGACCGCCATTGCCAAGGCTTCTAACATTTTGCAACAAAGAACCAGGAATTTTATGTAAAAGGCCAAAAATATCCATAACGTATTGAAAATGGCTCAAAATTATCCTTCGTTAACCTTTTAGTCCGCAAATTCCCCTAACGTTTATTTTTGGGCTCAAACTTACCCCTATATCTATAGAACTAACTTGGTCCATATTTTGACTTTAAATTTTTCATGTGGCATTTTCTTAAGCTGCCACATGTATTGTTTGTATTAAATTAAACGGAAAAGGGCCATATATGTCCCCTATACTAGCTAAAATAAGTCATATATATCCCCCATTATACTATTCAATTAAAAAGAGTCCCTATAGTTTGTTTCCAAAAACTAAAATGCCCCTCTGTCGTCTACTCCCAATTTTAAATTAAAAATATTCTCGTGTCAGCCTCTTACTGGATGAACTAAAATTACCCCCTATTTTGTAATTGACCCACCGACCCGGCTAATTTTATCTGACCCACCCGATATTTTAATTAAAAAAGATCCCCAACACATTGATTCTCTCATTTCCTTCCTTCAACCAGCGAGAGCAAATTAGGATTCTTAAGAAATACTAGCTATTGTTAGTAGACGCTGCCGATTCAAGAATTATTTTTCTGTAAAGGTATGTTTAATTCGTGTATTTTCACTTGTTTATCTCCCTTCTATGTGTATTTGTCTTAGTTAATTATTAGGGTTTTATGTTCAATCATTTTTGGGCTTTAATATGTTTTATATTCTTATGTCTTAGTTTAAGATGTTTTGTACTGACCTTTTTGTCTAATTTTCTTGTGTGGAATATCTTTGCATGTGTTGTTTAAGTCTTTTTCTTTTAGGATTATTGATGGTCGATGAATTATTTTTGTCTTTTTGTGATCCCGAATAAACTTTTATGATATATCTTGTTTCGATTTGTCTGTGTTGGGTTTATGTAGTTTTTGTTTGTGCTGGCATATGTCTTTGAATCTTTTAAGCATTAAAGTTGGTAAAATATGAGAATGTGAGGTTTTAATTGTTCTTGTTAGTCGTTACTTGTCTGGCATATGTCTGTGCTGGGTGTGTTGAATGTTGTTCCTTCACAACTGAAATATGTGAATATTTTAGTGCTAGTGAGCATTTACTATTTGAATTATTTGTGGTCCCCTAGTTTGTTACATATGTATGTGTTCCCCTGAATTCATACATGCTTTATAATTTTAATTTTTTAGTTGCTTAGTTATTGTTCTTTATCAGTATTGTTTAGGGTACTAAAATTTTTGTTGTCTCCATTTATGATTCTTTATTGTTTTATTAACTTTTACAAAATATTAAGGATGCCATTGGTGGATGTGATGACCCAAAAGGTCATCTTATATTTTAGAACTCGAATCTGCGCTCTTAAGCCTTAAAAATCTCATTTTTACCCTCCTCGATTTGCGTGCACAGTCCGGGCAGGTTTCCGAAAAGCTTTTATGTTGAAAACTAATAAAAATAAGAATTTCTGCCTTAAAATTTGATTTTAGTTGTCTTCGTTCAACATATTTTGTAAACGGGCCCGTATCCATGCTTTGACGGTCCCGCTAGATCCGTATCAAATTATGGGACCTGGGCGTATTTCCGGAATAGAATTCGGAGGTCCCTAGCTCAAGTTATGAATTTTTTATGAGAATTAAAAGTCTGAAAATTAATTGTTTTTAAGAATTGATTGATGTTTGGCATTGTTAGTACCAGGTCCGTATTTTGGTTCCGGAGTACGGTACAGGTTCATTATGATATTTAAGATATGTCTGTGAAATTTGGTGAGAAATGGAGTTGATTTGACGTGATTCGGACGTCTAATTGAGAAATTAGAAGTTTTAAAGTGTTCTTGAGAATTTCATTTGATTTGGTGCTAAATTTAGAGTTCTAGGTGTTATTTTGGCGATTTGATCGCGCGAGCAAGTTTGTATGATATTTTTGGACTTCTGTGCATGTTTGGTTTGGATCCCCGAGGGCTCGGGTGAGTTTCGGATAGGCCACAGGATGTTTTGGACTTGGGAAAAATCTAGTTTCTGCAGATTCTGGTGTCTGTCATATCCTTCTTCGCGTTCGCGAAGGTCCTCTCGCGAACGCGAAGGGTAATCTAATGAGGTTGAGACTCCTTCTTCACGAACGCGAAGGCCTGGTCGCGAACGCAAAGTGATGGGGGATTTACCCTTCGCGAACGCGACCGGCTCAACGCGAATGTGAAGCATGTAGGGACCTGGGGAGGGGTTTTGGTCGTTCCTTCAGCGCGAACGCGAGACATTCCTCGTGAACGCGAAGGCCAGAGGGGACTCATCATCGCGAACGCGAGCTGGGACTCGCGAACACGAAGGCTTGGCAGCCAGTACCCTTCGCGAACGCGACACTGCTTTTGCGAACGCGACGAAAACTGTCGCCCATCACTTAACAGAATCCAAAACGGGATTTTAGCCAAAAAACTCATTTTTCTCAAAAACCAAACGGTGAGGGGCGATTTTTCAAGAGTCATTCTTTCCCCAAATTGTTGGTAAGTGATTCTAAACCATTTTCTTTCAATTACCCATTACATTTCTTGAATTTGCAACCTAAAATCTAGAGTTTTCATGGTAGAATTAGGGGTTAGGGTAGAAAATAGGGATTTCGAGAATTTGGGGATTTAGACCTCAATTTGAGTTCGGATTCCAAAAATAATTACATATTCGGGCTCGGGGGTGAATGGATAAAAGAATTTTGGTTTGAACCTCGGGTTTTGACCAAGCGGGCCCGGGGTCAATTTTTTGACTTTTTGGAGGAAGATTTGAGAAATTTAATTTATGCAATATAACTGATTCCTTTAGCAATATTTGATATTATGGAGTCATTTTTTAATAGATACGAGTGGTTTGGAGGTAAATTCCAAAGGAAAAGCTGTGATTGAGAATTAAGTCGCCTTCGGAGCGAGGTAAGTGTTGTGTCCAACCCTGACTTGAGGGAATTAGGAACCTTAGATTATTTTCTAAGTGAAATTCATGTGAGCAGCGTATATGTGAGGTGACGAGTACCTATGCACCGCCAATTTACCTGTTTTTCCATGTTTCTCTGTTTTTCTGATATTGTCTCATTCCTATGCCAAATTGCTACGTGTTATACTAGTGTTGTTCAAATTATCGTTCTTATCATGTTTACGGAATTTTCTGGTGATAATTGAGTTTTTATTTCAAAGTTAAGATTGATATTATGGAACCAAATGTTGAAGTAAGGTTTGTACTTGTTATTCTATCTCCATGTTGTTATTTATGCATTGCATTATGGTAAGGGAGAGTGTTAATGCACGAAGGGTGATGCCGTGCCATATTGTGAGTGTTAATGCACGAAGGGTGATGTCGTGCCATATTGTGAGTGTTAATGCACGAAGGGTGATGTTGTGCCATATTGCGAGTANGAGTGTTAATGCATGAAGGGTGATGTCGTGCCATATTGTGAGTACTAATGCACGAAGGGTGATGCCGTGCCATATTGTGAGTGTTTATGCACGAAGGGTGATGTCGTGCCATATTGTGAGTACTAATGCACGAAGGGTGATGCCGTGCCATATTGTGAGTGTTTATGCACGAAGGGTGATGTCGTGCCATATTGTGAGTACTAATGCACGAAGGGTGATGCCGTGCCGTTTCTATTAATTTTATGGTGAGATTGAGAGTAAAAGTACGAAGGGGGATGTCGTGCATTCTTCATTACTATATTCACTATTCCTGTTGATTCATGGTATATTGACTGCTCCGGTGATCATTCTGTTGTAGTTCTTTATCTTGTATTCCCCTCAGTATGTCTCCCCTCCCGACATTTCCTGTTTAGTTCTTCATTCCTATTATTTGCGTATACACTGTTAAATTGTACAGGTTGATTGTAGGTTCCTTGCCTTAGCCTCGTTACTATTTCATCTATGTTAGGCTCGACACTTACCATTACATGGGGTCGGTTGTACTGATGCTGCACTCTGCACTTTCTGTGCAGATTTTGATATCGGCTCAGGTTGATCGAGAATTGTTATTGGTTCGCTCTCCGGAGACTCAAGGTAGATCTGTCGGCGTTCACAGACCTTGAAGTCCCCGTCTATCTTTTTA